TCATTTAGCTGCAGCTTTAATCAGCTACATCAAAGGCATTTGTTTCACTCAAAGAGAATTAATAAAACCTGTTATCCCAAAGGCAAATGGTGGTAACATGGAAGCGGCAAGCAACAAAAAGAAAGAAAAAAAAAAGTTCTACAGCTATTATTCTTCAAAGAACCCCATTTCCAAATTAACCAACAGACATTCTGAAAACTTCTTGAGAGTCACCCTCTTCACTTACACCATGGTGTCATACTATATTTGTGAAAGTTTAATAGTAATTTTTTTACTATGCTAATTCTAGGCAACATTTCTCCTCACAATGATCTCCTCAGGGATGCCAAGGCAGAAAGTAATAGCAACCGAACATTACTCCAAAAGTTTTTCATGAAATATAAACTGACAAATTACTCTGCATAGTATCTTTTATAGCTTTTAGAGCTATTCTCATACCCTTAAGTTGCCACAATATACTCACATACAGCACTGCATCTCTCCTGCACTGCCACACCTTCATGAACTTCCCAACTGTACTCCACTCTGACTTTTACTCATCACAGCCTGTGGAGACAAGCGGCCTTCTAGTTGCTTTCAACTGCTTGAGGGGGAAGGTCTTCCTCTACCACATGTGTTCCCCATTCCTTCTCAAGTTTCTTCAGCATCTCTTCCCAGATAATCTCAGGTTTTCTTTGGAGTGCCCCACACTACATATACCACTGATCGGCCTCAAACATGTAACCCCTGACCTGAAAACTTCTTTAACAGCTATATGTTAAGTGGTACATACGCTATGCCTAATATAACTTCAGAGGCTCCCTGACACCGCAGAACGCCCCGAGAAAGGTGCACCAGTACACAGTGAAAAGACGTCGGCTCTTCGGTGTCCTAGAATACAGCTACAAAATATTTTCATTTCCTCTAACTTTCCAAATTACTGCAAATTCCATGAAAACATGTTAAAATACAATTAACTCAGAATATGAAAAAAAAAATCAAATCATACTTAGCATTCTCTCAAGATCGCAAAACATAAATTGGTAATTTTTTTTCTTCTCTTTTCAGTAACTACAAATCATCATGCTTTGGTATTATAGCACCATGCATACACTACCATTAAATCCATTGCAAGAAGCCTCTAAAGCGCCTGTTTCACAGCACATGAAAGCTGGACTTCTTTCAGATAAGTATGGAAAAAGTCTTTAGTACTTTCCCAAACACTGATTGAAATTTATTTCACACTGATAAAAATGGAAAGATATTACATTTTCCCTACTACAGAAATTATTTCCAAAGTTAAGATTTCTTACCATAAATAAAATCAGTAAACCAAGTAAATTACATCTTGAATGTCTGTATTAAATATAAATGGCTTATACTTCATAACAACAAGAGTAAGCATTCAGTATTTCTTTATAAAATTTAAGATACACAGGCCTTGTACAACATATGGCTTAACATCTTATACCGTTTGTTCTCAGTCATACAGGCCTTGTACAACATATGGCTTCATTAACATCTTATACCGTTTGTTCTCAGTCATCCGTCAGCACAAATAGCACCTCTACATAAAAGATACACCCTAATGTTTCCAATGAAGTGCAGTATACTCCCTCAGAGAGAACATGTTTTAATTAACAGTTCTAATACCAGTGACAGTGTACAGTACTTTTACCAATCTACTGTGTTGTAATTATACAAGGTAGGAGAAGGAAATCCAATTCATACAGCCCTCACCAGAGTACAGGCCCCAGTACAGGTTTACTTCAAGAATGGCTGGAAGATTCGCCTTACAATATATGCTTCAACATGTTTGTTAAAAAGTGAGCAGCATATTCCAGCAACAAGTCAGACTTCTGACTGTACAAAACTGCAGTCAAATCTAAGTACCATTTTGAAACCAAAACCACATGTTACAATAGCCACTGAAACAAACTGATCTGCAAGCAGAGTATTTTCTTATCAGTGCTTTTGCAGGTTTGACAGACATGATCCCCTTTTGGGGAAAGTCTGACATTACAAAAAATAAACTCAATTATCGGACAGTTTCAAACTGTGGTTTATGAGGACAGGACATTCACATTTAGAACACGGACAGTCCAACTGCTCCATTTCAATAGAATATCATGAAAACCCCCATACCAGACTGAGCTATCATTCAGCCTGAAAATGCATGCAATTATGACAACAATCCCAGCATCAAATCACTTCAGGTAGTGACGAAGTTTGGCCACAAGATCATACACACAGCTTTCCAACTAGCCGGGAAGTTACAAAAGATAGGAGCTCAAGATACACACTGTAATATGGGAAGAGACAGGATAGGCTTCAAATACATCCTTGAAGTTTCCTTTAGCTTCTGGGCTCTTTAACAACCCCCAACTACAACATATTCATGTGCCCCTGCAAAAAAAAAACAAACTGAGGGGAAGAATTCCTCCTTGAATACAGAAATTCAGAGTAAGTCACAACATTTTCTTATATTTACTTTGGTAACACAGCTCTTCACAGATAAAGCAAGCAGCAAAACAACAGTATGAAGAAAATCTTGTAATGATAGCTGAATATTTGAACAAAGCACATAACGCATGTCTAGAAAAACACCTGAAAGCATCATGGAGATGACAGTTGAACATGACTTGGATTGTAATGCTACAGTACTAGAAACTGACCACAAGCTGTGAACACAGTTCACCAAAGTGAAGAACGTTATGAAACTAACACAGAATAAAGCTAGGACTGATCTCATTTTAACATCTCAGAAATATTTTTTAAACTCATTGTAATGGAAGAAAGAATATGTGAAATGAGCACACAGTCAACTAGAAGTTGAACAAGACAACTGAACAGCATTATCAAACAATTTACAAACAAAACAACAAAATAATAAAGGAAAAGTTAAAAGCTTGTGCAGAACTTTGGAAAGATGCCAATATTCAGGGGAATGAAGATAAATCTAAAAACTAGGAGAAATAACATACAGTTGGCTTACCAAGTATGCAATCCAACAGGACTGCAAAATTAGCTAATGCAATTTGGGAATGACTCCAAGCTAGGACATACTGCTCAATAGAACTCTGGCACAACTACAGTAAGAATATTATGGCTTCTTCTGTGAAGTAAATTAACTGAAAGACAAATTGGCAGATCTATAGAACAGAGTGACTGAGGGAAGAGACTAATTAAACTTCAAAGTTAATAGACATGCCCTCTCAGCCACACAGATGGAATATCTAAAACTGCTTCAATACCATTTAGAAAAAAATTCCTTTTCAATTTTACATGTTAAGAGATGTTTAATAACCCAGAGAAACTGGATCAGAAAAGACAAACAGCTTCCTAAAAACAAAGTGCAATGCAAACAAAAAAAAGTACTGAAAACTGAGAACTCAACTAGGTGAACAAGTCAGATTTCTGGTAGCAGCTGTGTTAAAAAATTGATATAAAGGTGTAATTCACCACTGAAGCATTTGTACTGGCGGATGTAAATCCACATACACTGTAACAGGACCACTTGATTAAGCTGGAAGAGAAAGGACCTTAAATGTAGGTATGAAGCACAGTCTGACATGACAGATTAATCCAAAACAAGAATATTCTTTGCTTTCAAACACGTTATAGTATAGAACATTGTTATGCAGCATATTATGTAGTAAAAACTGTAGTGTATTTTTTAAACATTCCTAGTGTGGTGACAGCCTCTGAACTCAACAGCTGTTTCCAGAAGTAAATTATGGCTCTTAACTGCAAAAATCTTTTGAGTGTGCATCAATTTCTGAAACCCACTGCATTCCAGAATTTTAAGCTTCTGAAAGAAGATATATTCTGTATCTTGTGTATTTATTTTTTTGCTATAGTAGGTCTTCATATTCCTAGGCTATACTGATCTAGGGAAGTGTAGAATGATATATCTGAAAACAAAATTCTTTTTTCTTTTTCAGAAAAAAATCAAGTCTCACTATGCAATAAAAGAAAGTATTAGATGGTATCAATTTACAGTTTAAGTTACATCCCAATTGCATTTATATTTCTATTAAAAAAATAAATCAAATTAGTCAATGTCTGTATTACAGATGAGACTTCAACTACACACAAAACTACATAGCTGCATTGTTTTCACTTAGTTGCTTCAAAGCAGACAGATAAATCAAAACTATATGCTGGAATTGCTCATGTGAAATACATCAACATTTCTACACAAATGAGGGCTACAAAGACTAAGGCACAAGATGAATATTCAGTATGAAAACAGGAATTTTTAAATGAAACCCAAATTAATCCTATGCATTTCTTCAGAATTCTGTTCCAAGTCAGCATTTGATGTGAGTTTATAGTAAAAAAAAAAAAAAAAAGACAATAAGCAATAAATGACGGTCTAACAAGGAACGAGTCCCTTTAGAATTTCTACAATATGAAAAGAGTTTAAAATGCAGGTGGTTTAAATATAACACCTCTGCTAACTTCCAGCCATTCTAGAACAACCCTCCTTATCTGGAGTAACAATTAACATTTAATACTTAAAGCTTTGTCCTTGGTAACATTTATTCCACCATCATATGCCCCCTAAGTTACACGTCGTATACTTTACGCATCCATAACATAAAGGAAATGTTTGAATATGTTTTCAATGACTATTAAGAACAAAACATGTCTCAAGCATAACTAAACTTGTCACATTTATGTTGCTCGCTTAGATTTCGTTTTTAATTACTTATACAGTTAAAAATTCTGCAATCAAAAAAATCAGATGTCTTAAAACAGTATGCTTCAGTTACATTCCATTATCGTTACCTAGCTGCCTCATTCATATAGTCCCACCAACGGATGATTAATACTAGAAAATATTATAATTTCTTGTACATGTGTATTATTTAATGCTCATCCTAAGTATAAATTTGCAACACAGTAGTAACACTGCAGGTATAGAAGTAATGCTTCCTATCAGGCATATGAAAAGATTAACACTCTACCACAGTTGATGCTGGTGTATTTATATAGAAGGCTCCTCACGTATCTTTTCAGTCTACAGGAGGTAGATGTTTGTCTATAAACTGTTTTACATCCATCATCTCCTGTTGAAAGATAAAAGTACGTATTAGTTAAAGATCCCTACTAATATATACTCAGCCACACTAAATTGTTTCAACAGTTCAGTTACAACGAGTAGCTACGCTACATATGCTGAGTAATTAGGTACTTGACAAAATCAAACCACTTTGCTCACAACAAGTCAAGGCTGATAACTCTTCAAGGCACTATGCACTCAGAAGAACCTAAAATACAAGAAAAAAGAGCAAAGACTATTTTTTCCTCTCTCTCTGTGAAGTTGAGCTGCCAAGCTCCATATTAATCACCAAGTGATCTGAACAGCACCGGGCTGAGCACGGATAGCATTTGAATGTAGATAACGCTGCAGCTTCATGTAGACTTCAAACTTGTGCAAGTTAGCAGCAGCAGTGTCAAAATACAGCAGCTCCTCTTAACCATTCAGATTCACCTTCGTGATGCCTCCTCCTTCCTTAACGAAAAGCAACACAGCACACTAGACTGGGAAACCAATCCATGCTAAAAATAATTACTTTTTTTTAATTAAGTCAATGTTGTAAGAAAGAGCAGGTTATTAATAAATTTGCGTGGTAACTCAATACTGCACAAATGTGTAAATGTCCCAAAGAGGTTGCCGAAGGGTACTTGCAGCTCCCACAAAAAGCAGCAATGCAAATGAACAAAGTTACTGTTGCTGACAAATGGCAGACTTTTTCCTTGCCTCCTCTTCTGTTTCTTGCTCCTACCATTTACTTTGTGTGTTCTGATGCTTCAACTCACTACAGCTGCAAAAACTGAAGCCAGCAGCTTTTCCCATTTTAGCAAGTTCAAATGGTTCAAAGAAGTTTCTGATCAGCTCCAGAGCTGGTGCAAGAAGGAAGAGAGGACCACCAAATCATGAGCAGAGGGAACTAGTCCACCCCTTTCTGGCAGCAACAGGCTATTACATCAGCTCAGCTGCTTGCTGAACCAGAACCATAAACATAGGCTCTGAGGTTGCCTCTTCCATAGCATCAGCCCTCCCTTCTCATTCCTTCAGTGTCTTCATCCACAGAACTAAAAAGATTCTTCTCTCCAAAATACCAAGCTGGATTTATGCTGCGAGAATTTGCCTTCCAGTTCACTGATTTTTTTTTTAGTAAGCAAATAATAAAAATTAGGAAAAAAAGAGTATTTGATAGACCAACTAGCCTAGTCCCAAAAACACAATCTTATGAGGAAGTTCCCACTAGTCATATAAACTTTTGCCATAGAAGGTTTTTCAGCCAGGCATTCAGGTACTCACTAAAGTCAGTCAGTAGCATCAAGCACTCGTTATTTTAAAAAAAAAAAAAAAACCACCCATCCAATACCTATTTGTTTAGAGAGAAAAAAAATTAACCATACCCAGCTAAAACATTGTATCCTAAGAAAATTACCTCAATACATGAGCTATGCATCATGCCAGAGTAAGTCCTGAAGGTTACATTGGCTGGATTTATCATACTCTTTAGCTTCTCAACAGTGAGGGAACCGAACATTAAAGGAACCAACGGGTCACAGTCTCCATGGCACTGAAGAACAGCAATCTCCTTGTTGACACCACTGATAGGGCCCTGTTAGGAGGTGGAATTAGAGGGGAGAAGAGAAAAAAGACACAGTAAGTGGAAGTAAGGCCAACATAAATATAAAAATATAACAAATATAAAATATAATATT